CTGAATTTGGTTTGCTAGTGTTTTGTTGAGAATCTTTGCATCTCTGCGCAGAAGAGACCTCATGCCCATTTACAGTTAACTTCATTCTTACCTCTAGTCTCAGGCAACCACTAATTTATTTTTTGTCTTTATAGATTTTCCTATTCTGGACTTTTCATATAAATGGAATAAATGTTATCTTTGGGGACTAGCTTCTTTCACTTAGCATAATGTTTTTGAGCATCCATATTGTATCCTTTTATGGCTGAATAGTGTGAATCCTCCACTATATGGATCTAGCATTTGTATCTGTTTACCAGTTGATGGATATTTAGCTGTTTCCAGTTTGGGGCTATTATGAATAATGCTGCTATGAACATTCATGTGCAAGTCTTGTCTTCGCATAGACATGTTTTCATATCTCTGGAGTAGACACCTAGGAGTGGAATTACTGGGTCCTATGGTAGTTTTATGTTTATCATTTTGAGGAACTGCCAAACTGTTTTCCAAAATAGCTGTACCATTTTACATTCCCACCAGCAAAGTGTGAGGGCTACCTGGGAATATATTTAAAATATATGAGTGTTTCCTCATCTATAAAGTGCCAATAATAATACTGACTTCATTAAGTGAATATTAAATGAGATTATATGTGAAGGACTTAGCACAGTGCTGGGCCCAGACACCCATAAAAACTTAACAAATGGCATTTTTTAATGTTCCCTTGTCTATGCTAATGTCCCAAATTCGACCTTGCTTTGCTTACCTGTTAGAGATTGTCTTCATGCCTTCCACGTAAACTGACACATTGGTGTTAAGTTCCAGACCCTTCTCATTAGTCCCCTATGGTCTCACAGGACCCCCCGACTTTGTCCCCCATCCCACTGCCCTCAAGGTCTGTGTTGACTTCTTTGACTCAGCGGGCTTTCCTAGGACAAGAACTCCGAATTGGCAGATTGGGGCAGCCAGCAGTCTCTGTGGCACCCACCTTGGTCTGCTGGACCACAGGACAGAGCGTATTGATTGCTCTGCAGAGCGTATTGATTGCTCTCGTCCCCCAGATGCCCAACTCCAGGCTTCTCCTGTTTATCCTTAAAGACATAGTTCGGACATGACCTCCTCCAGGAAGCCTTCCCTAATGACCCCTCAACTCCTATAATGTATATTACTGCAACCGTCACATCATTTGTAATTATACTTTTGTGTCTGTGTCTTGTGCGCGTCCTGAGCCTATTCTTACTCGCTTCTATCTCCCCAGTGGCTAGCATAAATAACACATAAATAGCCATATCCATGCACAAAGTATTGAAGGTCACGTGTTAGTGTCCAGGAAAACTGAGACTCTTGCACTGGACCCTGAAGAATAAAACAGGAGTCTGTTCAGCTGAAATGGGGAGCAGGGCACGCCAGGAGGAGCGCACAGCATGTAAAGGCCAAGAAGAGAGAAAACATGGTTTTCAGGAACTAGTAAGTCGCGTGGCTGAGTGACGGGGAGTGGCCAGTGAGGCTGGAAGTTAGGGTAAGCCAGCTGGAAGGCTGTAAATGGGCATTCGTGCCAAGCCAAGGGGGAAACTTAACCCTAAGGGCAGAGAGGAGCCATCCACAACGTAGGGGAGCGGCGTAACCAGAACTGTTTTAGGAGGATCTCTCTGGGGGAGCAGAGGACATGGTTCTCAAACTTCAGCTGCAATCACCCGGAGGGCTTACTAAGACACGGTTCCCGGTCCTACCCCGTTTCTTCTTCAGAAGGTGTCGAGTGGGGCCCAAGAATATGCATTTCTCACAAGCTCCCAGGTAATGCTGGTCTGAGGACACTGTGAAAAGCACTGCTGGAAGGGATGAGATAAAGCCTGGGCCGCAGAGAGAATATTAGGGCAGCTGCTGAATTCGCCCAGGTCAGAGGTGATGCCGGCAGAGCAGGGCAGGTGCTCACATTTTAGATGTGGTTGCTGCCAACTTTTCAGTGTGTGTTTTTTTAAGTTAGAGTTTTAATTTTTTTTATTTTTAATCCTTACCTGAGGATATTTTTTCCATTGCTTTTCAGAGAGTGGAAAGGAGAGAGAGGGAGAGAGAGAAACATTGATGTGAAAAAGACACATCCCTTGGTTACCTCCAGCAGGCGCCCCATCTGGGGCCAGGGATGGAGCCTACAACTGAGGTATGTGCCCTTGACTGGAATCGAACCCGGGACCCTTCAGTCTGCAGGCTGATGCTCTAACCACTGAGCCAAACCAGCTAGGGCTTCAGTGTCTTAATGGTGAGATTTCAGGCATGGTAATAAGCCAGTGTGGAAAAGGGAGGCTGTTTCTGGGAAGAAATCAGCCAGTTGGTTAGGATAGTCTCCATGCCCGACCTGGGAGGACCAGATCCCCCCTGGTAATGATCTTCAGAAAGCACAACAGAGACAAGATGCCCAGAGTTGCTGTTTAATGCCTGATGATCACAACACAAGGAGGTTTACATGGTGCTCATCAAAGTAGGACCCAGGGTGAAACCAGGCCGGAGTAAGTGACCCGTACAGAGTCCCAGCACAGAGACCAGGTTCCCTCGGATTTGCTCCCCCTCGAGATACACGTGCCACATACAAGGCTCCTTCACTCACCCAGGCTGGCCGGGCTTCTGGTTACTGAGGGTCCTCATGGGAGAACAGGGTACCGGGATGAGGTGGGGACTCAGGACACAATGAGAACCAGAAAGCTGCTTGCAAACAACCCCCAAAGGCTTTCACTTCAGATGCATAAACCACACAAGGCTTGGACACAGAACATCCAAACTCTGTCACTAAAATCTCTAAACACTGTGCAGAACTGATGCTGAGAACACTTGGAAAGAAAAAGTAAAGCCCAAACTATCTTAGAGCCAGCTTCAGGAGCTTCCCCATCGCTGCAGTGAAGGGACAACACCCTGGTCTAGCTGACACTTTCAACGGGAAGGGACGTGGGAGCATGTCCCTGGTTTTCAGAAATCTCTTAGACTCTACTCAACAATTTAATACTACTGGGTTCCCCGGAGCCCAGAGCCTTTGATGTCCCTGGGGATACAGGTGACTTAGGAGCTGACAGTGGGGCTGGGGAATTTCCTGGCAGAAATAATATACCTTAGAAAGAAACTGGTTTTTTTTTCTGCCCTAGTTTTAAAGCTTACCTGGCCTCTAAAGGGAATACCTCTCAAAATGCGCTCTTAAAGCACTTGTGTGAACTTGGGAGGTTTCCAAGTGTCACTGGTAAGAAAGAGGCTTGAACTTGTTTCCTACCCTGAGCCTGAGGCTTCGCCTGGGTGGCCCAGCCTCTGGGCCGGGCAGGGAACAACACAGGAGGGGGCAGGAGCAACTGCTCAGAATATAGGCCATGGGCCCACGGGGCAGCCCCAGTCCACCCCTACGGCTGGGGCTTTGGAGAATGAACTTGAATTCTGGCCAGACTTCACCATGAAACTCATTCCCGGCGGGTCCTACAGGCCTCTTCTTCCTTTTCTCTGATTTAATTCTAGGAGAAAGCTATAGAGCAGGGGTGGGGAACGTGTGGCCCTGGCAAGGCCTCACCAAAGAGAGGCAGTTCCAGCCATCACGTTAGGAGCGAGTTAATTAAACGTTCGACCAAATACAGCAGGCTGATTTTCCAGTTGATAATTTTTTGTCTGACCTGCGAATGATGCTATAAAGACCCAAATGGCCCTTGGCAGAAAAATGTTTCCCCACCCCTGCTCTAGAGAGAGCCCAAGGCATGGAAGGCAAACATCGCCATCCTCAGAGATGGCGAGTGGCTGACAGCAGCCTAGCAAAGAACCCCGAACAGCATCGCCACCTCCAGCCCCACATGCCCAAACCCTCCATGCGGCCCCGCCTGCCCGCACGGGCCAAAGTGGGCCCTTGGCCCTGGGCATGCTGGGCTTCAAAATAGGCTTTTGATGAGAGCCCTGTGGAGCTGTGGAGGAGGGAAGACCAAAAGCACTTCTGTAAATCGTACAAAATTAGCCCTGTTTATAGAACTGGGCATCTTTGACCTGCAAATGGCAAGGCACAACTGTCATCAGCTGGGCATTAGCTCACATTGGACCCCAGCCCCAAAGAAGCCCACCTCCAAAACTTCAGATACCCATTGGTCAGCTCAAGAGCAATCCCACAAGGCCAAATTCATATTTTAAAACAACTTAATGCTACAAACTTAAAAAAAAGAAAAGTGCTGCCCAGCTGAGCCTCTAAGGAGACCTAGCTCCCTGAGGGTAGGTGGGTAGTGGGCCTCTCAGACCACTGCCCCTGGCTGTCTATGTCTAGAAGGTACAGCCTTGGTTCAGCCCAGAGCACCCCAACCCCAGGCTGGGTGGGAGAGGAGAGCTGACTGTCCACCCCACCCCCCTACAGGGACAATGGGGGATGGTCAAA